CCATGGGAGCATTTGGGTCAAGCTGTCCGAGATTTTATTAATATTCGTATTCATCAAGCGTCTTTGAATGATCAAATTACGATAATTCTCTTCGCTAATCGAGCAGAAAGAATTTTCAATCGAGAAAAACTAACCAACATTGATGTCGATAGAATCAACACACCAATGAACTTTTGTGGATGTGGAACAAATTTTTCTGCTGCATTTCAAAAACTCATTGAAGCCCTTGAAGAAATCGATAATCACCCCGATCGAGATATTTTACGGCAAACAATTGTTTTCATGACTGATGGATACCCTCAGGAATATCCAACTGAAAAATTACAACAACTACGTGCTTATCGAACTGGTTGGTATAAATCTCAATTCTTTATACTAGATTTTTAGAAGAGTAGAATATTGATTCCATGTTTTTTTTTATTTGAAATAGATAATGCTCGGGGTCCAAATAGCAAATCTTTGATACACAAATTTTGGACAGTGGCCCTTGGAGACTATAATAAAGAAGTTATGCAAAAAATTAATCAAAAAATGCAAGGAGATATGATTGATATTCGACGTCCAGAAGAATTAGAAGAAGCATACGCACAAATTGCGGAAATTATGTAAATCAGATGCATGCAGAAAAATATTCTATCTCATTATTTTCTTATGAAAAAACCATTACGCTCTTAAGCCGGATAACACGCGAACTGTGATCGTCAATCAAAGTAATAAACGCTATTCATTGAAACTATCGTTTTTTCTATCGTTCAAAAAAGACATAATATATGTACGCATCAGTATATCATAGCGATTTCTATGGTTTATGCCGACGTATACAAGATCTATTCCCGTGAAATTTGTATTGATCAATAATACGTATTTGACTAATATCGATTACAAAAAAGAAGGAGAAGAATTCATCAATCTCAAATAGTATGTCATCGGAGATTCTTCATTCAATGTAAGAAGAAAAAAAAAGTATTCGTAATCAACAGTATCTAATTTCTATTGACTGCCTACGATAATCGATTCTTCTTCTTTTCGTCCTGGTGGCAAGTACAATGGCAATAGCCGCCAGTGTCACTGCGACGATAGAAACCACCGTCGTTCCAACCACCACTATACGGCACATAGAAGCAATCTTCACAACCGGTAGCATAGAGACAATTGTTTTTCTTAGTTGATGAAATTGCTCGATTGTTGATTCTAGACGAGTGATTTCGTTCTAAATTAATGCATAATGTCGAATAGTTAGTTGTAGAGACGAAACCTACCTGTTAATATCGGAATCTGAGATTTCTTATTGAAATTATTGGAAGCGTCGTACTCGATAGAGACGAGCTTATTCCAATCGACCTGTGGAGTTTTATTGACGTAGAGTTGAATAGGTCGTCGGATAAAGTCGTCGAGATCTAATTGAACACTATTGATCATGTTATTTAATCGTTTAAGGTCGTCTTCGACGAAATCATTAATGTCTTTTCGTAGAAGAATTTCTTTGCCAATCGATTCGATCCTTTCTATGATTTCTGATTTTTTCCGATTTATCAATTGTAAGATTTGTTGACGAGTGTTATCGGCTGTTTGCATCACCTTTTCCATCATACTTTTTTCCCAATTATCAATTTGACCAAGCAGAGAATTTTCAATACGTTGAATCTGATTGGTTTCCTTTGTTTTCATCACAAGTCGATTACAATTACCCATCAGCTGGTTCAACTGCTTGGTCATATAGTATCGATGATCGTGGAAATGTTGTGGACAAAATAATGATTGACATCCTGTACAAATGCATGTTCCCGAAATCGTTCCACACGAAGAACATCGTTTCATAGTTGTCATTCTCTACAGACTGGGTAAATGATGTTATGCAGTGAATTCAATTTGAAAAACAAAAGTGATCAAGTTTCCTGCCTCGCACCTTTTTATTGACTTAAGCACATTCTCAACTCTCGTCCCCACCCTCACACTCTGTATTGTACTTGATAGATGCGGTTATTTCCATCTTCAGTAAAGAGAAGACTGCCGTCATAGAGAACAAGTAGTCCAACGGGACGTCCAAATGTATCCGGTCCTGATGGATTCGTTAGAAATCCACGTACAAAATCTTCATAGTAGCCTAATGGTCGATGAGTTTCATTGTGAAACGGAATAAAAACAAGTTTATACCCAGTTCCACTATTTCGATTCCATGAGCCATGAAGTGCTGCGAAAGCACCATTGCGGTATCGTGCGGGAAATTGGGAGCCTGTATAGAAACGCATATCGAGAACGGCTGAATGTGCTTGAAAGAGAACATCGGGCGTTTTTGTCAATGCTACTAGATCTGGTCGTTCACTTGTTCCATTCGTGAGACGTCGTCGCGGATCAGTACGATTCGGACTTAGATAAGAAAAAGGCCAGCCGTAAAAGTCATTCGGTTGAACGCGTGTAAAGTAATCGGGCACCAGATCGTCCCCAAGCTCATCACGTTCTTGACATGTGACATAGAGATCGTTCGTAACAGGATGAAAAGCTAAACCAACAGGATTTCGAAGGCCATAAGCATAAGTCGTTTGATTGCTGCCGTTTAGACGAGCTAGTTGAATAGAAGCCCGTGGTAGTGCTTCAACATCGACATTTGATGCTGAACCAATGCTAACCAATAATTGATCATTGGCTGACGATGCGGCGACGGTTCTAGTTGAATGTCCATTTTGAGGGTAGGTCATAACTATTTCTCCTGTACCTGATATAGATCGACTGCCATTCGTCCATACATAGCGTCGTGTAGCATCTCGGTTGCCAACATAAAAGTAGCCATTCACAAAAGCCATGCCAAATGGCGAATTCAATCCATTCGATACATTTGCGAATGTTAAACGTTCGTCCGGATAACCGTCATTGTTATTGTCGATCAGACACGATATACGGTTAGCGCTTGGCTCGCTAACGAGTATGTCGTTTGTAGGTGTATAGATGAGATAACGTGGATTGGTTAATCCACTCATATATAGTTTCACAACAAATCCATTCGGAACGTAGAGTTGAGGATCTACTGGTACAGGAATTACGCGAGCACCCTTCGCAACAGATGACGTAGCATATGGTTGCGGAAGATCAGCAACTGTAATATGAATCGGTTGTGGGTTAAACGTAACATTAGTAGCGTATATTTGATGAATTACAAATATACTGAATAGTGTGCAAAGATATGATATATGTAAGAAGTGCATCATTGACGCGCTCTTTTATTAATCGTATTGAATATTGCCTGTATATATATATACACTGTTTTGCATAGTGATTTATTATGATATTGCGTATACTTCTATTTTTTTCCTTCTTTGACGTCAACTGCTCTACTGTATGTACTTTGCACGCTTCAATTATGTAAGTACACAGAATTATATTTAGTTGCTAATATGGGCATAGCAAATATAATGTGCGACTCTTCTGTTTTGTGCACAGTAGTTTTCAGGACCAAAGAGTAACATGCCTACGCTCACTTACTTTCTGATGACAAAGCAGAAAAAAAGTAAATAAAAAAGAAAAACCAATGTAATGATGACGAGGTCCCAAAAATAATGCATGTTATAAGAGCGTACGTTTTTTTTCTCCTAGTGCGAGGATAATAATGTCGTCTCAGCGAGTATTCTTAGTAACCGGTGCCAATAAAGGTATTGGATTTGAAGTTATTAAGAAACTCTCGAAAAATCATCCAACAGATATGATCATACTTAATTGGCGGTCGGGATCAACAACGGGGTGCGCCAACGAATGTGAAAGTCTTGCTACTTAACACTTCGTCGAAGCAAGGTATTCAACGAGCAAAACAAGAAATCCAAAACAAATATGGCGGTCATATAGACGTATTAATGACTCAAGCTTCAAAGCATTGAAAGAAACGTTTGACAATTCCCATGTAAACGCCAGACGCAGGATAAACGCGTTCCGACGCAATTTACTTCGCAAATCGCACGTAGACGCGGTTTAAAATCAATTTTATCGCGTTCAAACGCGTATCTCAAGATAACTGCGTCTGAATGCAAAACNCCATCTTCAGTAAAGAGAAGACTGCCGTCATGGAGAACAAGTAGTCCAACGGGGCGTCCAAATGTATCCGGTCCTGATGGATTCGTTAGAAATCCACGTACAAAATCTTCATAGTAGCCTAATGGTCGATGAGTTTCATTGTGAAACGGAATAAAAACAAGTTTATACCCAGTTCCACTATTTCGATTCCATGATCCATGAAGTGCTGCGAAAGCACCATTACGATATCGTGCGGGAAATTGGGAGCCTGTATAGAAACGCATATCGAGAACGGCTGAATGTGCTTGAAAGAGAATATCGGGTGTTTTTGTCAGTACTACTAGATCTGGTCGTTCACTTGTTCCATTCGCAAGACGTCGCCGTGGATCAGTAAGATTGGGACTTAGATAAGAAAAAGGCCAGCCATAAAAGTCATTCGGTTGAACGCGTGTAAAGTAATCGGGTACGAGATCGTCTCCAAGCTCATCTCGTTCTTGACATGTGACATAGAGATCGTTCGTAACAGGATGAAAAGCTAAGCCAACAGGATTTCGAAGACCATGAGCATAGGTGGTTTGATTGCTGCCGTTTAGATGAGCTTGTTGAATAGAGGCTCGTGGTAGTGCTTCAACATCGACATTTGATGCTGAACCAATGCTAACCAATAATTGATCATTGGTTGGCGATACGACAACAGTTCTAGTTGAATGTCCATTTTGAGGATAGGTCACAACTACTTCTCCTGTACCTGATATAGATCGACTACCATTCGTCCATACATAACGTCGAGTAGCATCTCGGTTGCCGACATAAAAGTAGCCATTCACAAAAGCCATACCAAATGGTGAATTCAATCCATTCGATACATTTGCGAATGTTAAACGTTCATCCGGATAACCGTCATTGTTATTGTCGATCAGACACGATATACGGTTAGCGCTTGGCTCGCTAACGAGTATGTCGTTTGTAGGTGTGTAGATGAGATAACGTGGATTGGTTAATCCACTCATATATAGTTTCACAACAAATCCATTAGGAACGTAGAGTTGAGGATCTACTGGTACAGGAATTACGCGAGCACCCTTCGCAACAGATGACGTAGCATATGGTTGCGGAAGATCAGCAACTGTAATATGAATTGGTTGTGGATTAAACGTAACATTAGTAGCGTATATTTGATGAATTACAAATATACTCAATAGTGTGCAAAGATATGATATACGTAAGAAGTGCATCATTGACGGGTTCTTTCATAAATCGTATTGAATATTGCCTGTGTATATATATATACTGTTTTGCATAGTGATTTATTATGATATTGCGTATACTTCTACTTTTTTCTTCTTTGACGTCAACTATTATACTGTATATACTTTGCACGCTTCAATTATGTAAGTACACAGAATTATATTTAGTTGCTAATATGCGCATAGCAAATAAAGTGTGCGACTCTTCTGTTTTGTGCATAGTAGTTTTCAGGACCAAAGAGTAGAATGCCTACGCTCGCTTACTTTCTGATGACAAAGCAGAAAAAAAGTAAATAAAAAAGAAAAATCAATGTAATGATGACGAGGTTCCAAATAATGCATGTTATAAGAGCGTACGTTTTTTTCTCCTGGTGCGAGGATAATAGCGTCGTCTCATCGAGTATTCTTAGTAACTGGTGCTAATAAAAGTATTGGATTTGAAGTTGTTAAGAAACTCTCGAAAAAGCATCCAATAGATATGATCCTACTTGGCAGTCGGGATCAACAAAGCGGTGAAGATGTTCTAGTTCGACTCGGTTCACCGACGAACATGAGAGTCTTGCTACTTGACACTTCATCGAAACAAAGTATTAAACGAGCAAAACAGGAAATCCAAAAACGAATATGGTGGCCATATAGACGTATTAATTAATAATGCTGCAATAGGTATTAATGACTCAAGCTTCAAAGCATTGAAAGAAACATTTGACACTAACTTCGATGGTGTCAAATATTTGAATGATACGTTGTCGCCGTTGTTGAGAGATAATGGACGTATAGTGACTGTAAGCAGCGCCATAGCATCATTGACGTTGGAACGCTGTTGAAAAGATTTACAAGTCAAGCTTCTTGATCTCAATATAACAGGAAGTCAATTAGAGCAAATTTTTACTGAGTATGAGTAAGAGTAAAGTATTTCGTTTTGCTCTGACCCTTTTCTTTCCAGATTATTCAGAGCAGTTCAAGAAGGAAATGATTCCAAATTTTGATGATTACTTTGCTTTGTACTATGGCGCATCCAACTTAGGTATCAACATTCTGATCCGTTCGCAAGCTTCCGATCGGAACAAAAAGTATACAGCAAAAAATGTCATTGTAAGTGCTGTGTGTCCAGACTTTTGTGCAACTGATATCAACAATCGAGCAGAAGGTGGACGACCCGCTGAGCTTGGTGCAGATTCTATCTTACATGCTGTTTATTCGGAAAACCTTGAAAATGGACAATTTTCGAAAGACGGTACACGTTTGCCATTCGAGGCAAACCGATAATCTTTTCAAATAGACAAAATGTCGAGATTTATTTCTCGAAAGGATGTAAAGCAGTATTGATAGATCTGAAACTGTCGATCATTTTCTTCACACCTGCCATTTCTATACCCAGCTTATTAGCATAGTTAGGAGAACTATAACCCCACCAATCCCAACAGCCTTCTTTATTCGACGGATTGACATGCGTTGCTATAATTTGTGGAAATATTATAATAATATTATTGAGTTCAGCCACTTCTAAATAACCCGTTTTCTTCGCGAAGATATCCCCAATGCGCCATTTCCCTATGAAGGAAGATGCATAAGTTTTGTAGGCGAAAAATTATTCAAACCTTGTAAACATCCATGAAGAGCTACATGAATTGGACATTTCTTTTCTTTCACACAATTTGTTGGATAATAAACGTAACCTTCTTTGTCGAAACTAGAAGAATTCGTCGATGTGATGTCCACTGAACCAGGAAGTTTGGATGTTCCTATCGGCACTTTTAACCAACTAGCCCAATAGGGAAAAACACTCTTATAGCTCATGCCATTTATCTCAACAGATTCTCAGCAGTGTCCAAGGACTAAGAAAGGGCATTTCTTAAGCTCCCTAAACAAACCATAAAAAATCCTGAAATTCCATGAGGAATTGGAATCTGATCCATAGACCCTTCAAGTTTCCTTCACATTTCCTACATCATTTCCTATAGTCCCCAAACTATCAACTTAATGCAACACCAACGCATCGTGAGACTCCCAAGACATTTCCATATTGCCTTACAAAGGAAGCAACACACCGACAATACCTAGCTATGGAATCGACGAATTGACCAAAAATAATCATCAATACCTATCGAAGGAAATGACACCCAAACAAAAAAAAACTAGCACAAACACGATTCAACCCTAACCACAATAACCACACACATCCGCAACACACTATCCTCCACAACCATATTTCCACACTATTTCTACCTACGAACCAAGTAACTAACGTTCCTATACATGCATCATCAAAATATTTTCGTCAGCGACCCCAAGAAAAAAGTGCTCCGAGTCAGCAAATGTCTCGTTTCTGCTAATAGTTCCCCGGGAATGAAGATGGTACCTTCAACATTTCCCCAGAGGAACCGAGGAATTGATGTTCGCATGAAGACATGATCGAGATATTCAAATAAGAGAGGTAATGAAAAAAGTGGTGGAAATGAGGAATTGTCTCAATTCTGCTGAAAATTCCTCAGGAATGAAGATGGTACCTTCAACATTTCCCCAGAGGAACCGAGGAATTGATGTTCGCATGAAGACATCATCGAGATATTAACATGCAAGCGAGACCGAAAAAAGTGGTGGAAATGAGGAATTGTTTCATTTCTGGTAATAATTCCACGGGAATGAAGATGGTACCTGAATGGTAGCTTCAACAGTTCCCCGGAGGAATCGAGGAATTG